AAAAGTTACCAAAATGGAAAAGAGTGGAAAATCCCTAACCAGAAATAAAAAAAGAGGTGGATATGTATTTAGAATTATCGAGGAACCCCTGACGCCGACAGACCCACCCCGGTCTTGCTCGGCGTCAATAAAAGGCAGAAACTGAAGCCCCAACAGGCAGAAATCAGTTCGGGCCCTGGCGGCAGAGATGAGTATCCAAAGTTCGAGCTCCAGTTTCCAGAGTTGAAGCCGCCTCAAGATAGCTGACCAAGATTCACGCAAAATTTTGGACTCCTCTTCAACCAAGAACAATTATTTTGAAGAGCGACTTAGGACAAGACCACCGAAATAAGCTTTTCGACTTTCGTCCAAAGACACACCGAAACACAAATGTCTTAGAGAGCAAACAACTTGAAGCGTTAAAACTTGCCTAGCGAAAACGACGTGTCACAATCCACAGAACGGGTCGGGAGATAGATGCAGTCCTATGTATCGAACAACTAGACATAAAGTTTGTTACCTTTTTCTTTGATACTTTGAACTTTTTGAGTTTTCATTTTATTTTATTTTATGCATATTTGTGTGTTATCACCCCCGTTGAACTCAATTTGCATTACGGCCCCAACCACTGTTTGATCTCGTCTGTCTAAGATCAATTCACAACGTGGGTAGGCAGACTGAAGATCAGTGCAGTTACCTTGGTAACCAGGCGTTGGAAGCGAGTTGGGAACGGCGAGGCTGATATCAAATCTAACCAGATTCCCACCCGAATCACCAAAAGGTTAGAACGTCACATTTGGGTGCCGCGACCGATACCAAGCCAGTTGGTCGTCACAGGACGAGACAACACGACTGACGCGACAGGCGGACGTCACGTTTGGAGCAGCGACACCCGGACGGAGCAGCGAGGAGCGAACAGATGGCGCCGCGGCGAAGACGTCACAATTGGTGCTGTTTAGGGACGTCACAACTGGTGTCGTGACCGGGATAGGACCCTGGAACGGCCACGTCACAAGTGGCGCCGTGGTAGATCAGGATAGAACGTCACAGTTGGCGCTGCGACCGGGGGACGACGTCACACTGTCGCGTGAAGATAGCTCAGTGGTAGAAGCTCTGACTGACACCAATTCGGTTGGGTTTCGATCCGGGCTTAAGGCATTCTAGTCGCACTGAGGAGCTGTGATATGACGAAATAGTAGTGTCTGCGAATGACATGTGACAGCAAAATTGCCCAATTCATATAACAGCATAATTGTCAATCGCACAAAATGTTTAATATCTACAAAAAAAAAAAAAAACACTCAACTAATCAATTACATTTTTTTAAAGGTTTTCAGATAAGACATTTAGCCATTTTCACATCAATTGTCGAAAGAAAACCCTTTGAGTTATTAGTTAGAAAGGGAAAATGTTAAAATCATTTTGTGGCAGCCCCACTATCATCCAAAATGAGCAAATGTGAGAGGAAAAAGATTATTCAGGCATACAGTGATGATATCAACATTCATACTCAGGCTTCCATCTTCAAAGTGCATTCAAGGACCACGAAGAAAACGATTAATAAGTTTAAAAAAGGGGAACAGTAGAGAGGAAAACTGAATCAGGAGGTCACAACAGCAATAGGGATTATCATTTCATCTTAGAGTTAAAGAGATCAATTAGAAAAGATCCAACTCAATCCATAAGACGTTTGGCACGTAGGAGAGAAGTTTCAGCTAATACAGTCCAAAAGGCAGTGAAAAAAGTCTTGAAAATGAAATCGTACGTAAAAAGTGCAAGGCAACTTGTTACTTAAGGACTTGAAATTAAAAGGTTAGAGCGGGCGAAGATCATGTTGAATAAATTGGAAAATGATCCCGGAATAATATATATATATATATATATATATATATATATATATATATATATTTGAACTTTATTTTAACCCTTTATGAGCTTTCGAATCTTAGCTATGATTAATTAATGTCACAATTCACAATTCTTCTGTTAAGCGTGGAGAGTAATTATATTCTAGTAAGATATCATTAATCATTTCTAAGACACAGCAGCTTAATATAACAATTGGACAATTTTTCTGTTACCCTCGGTACATGAATTAGAGATATAACGGAAAAGAGCTATAGAGGAAATATTTATTCTCCAATTTGCAATTCCCCTGTTATGGGCATTATTTTGTCCATTCTGTAATAACATCGTACTTCACGGACAGAACGGAATGGCTGATAGGAAAAGTAATGACAATCATGCGTTGTTCTGACTTTTATACTAAGACATACACAAAACTATATATATATATACTTGTCTCCCACGCAGAAAAAAATCATATATATCTACAGAGCCGAGTGTAAGGAGAAATAAAAAATAAGGAGCTTATATATAATATGGAGATACTCCTGTGTCTGGAGAAGTCATTCTTAGGAATCCTGATTCAAACGGACCGGATCCATCTACCATTTCCGAGGCGATATTCCACAAATATAAGGGAGTATTGCTGACCATACTTTACTTTCCAGCCTTGACAGAGTTCAAAAGCCTTTACTTGGCCTTGAGGGTGATGAATTATTCTCAACCTTCTCGCCTCTTTCCCACGGATTGAGTATCGTAAGCCTATTAGTCATCTATGGCTATTTTCTTTGAAAGTGTTCTGACGAGCTACATTTTCTAGTTCCGATCTTTACAGCTGTGACTCATCATGCCACGTACACAGAGTCGAATCATCCTCATTCCCTTTGTATTCCATTTGTAAGAAAAGTTCAGTTTTGAACAGCTTCTTCTCAAGAACCGCTATTTTATTAAGCTCTCCAAGTTTAACCGTTATCTATCCTACATATCATCATAATCTGCACGTACCTCCACTTCACTTACACGCACACAGCAATCTCATTTAGTAACCTTCTACTGTGAGTGCCTCTTGAGCCTGGTATTTGACGGGAAAAATGCATGCTAAGCTTTCTTACAGAGCAAGGTTCTTCCTGAAAGTTCTTACTGAGTTTTTTTTTCTTGGTCTGGTTCAAGGACAAATTTGCAGAAGGCTTAATCAAGATCGGACTCCCGACAGAAGTCTCGGCTTACGGACACATCAATTTAAAACACCATACGATCCCTGAAGTTAAGCAACGTCGACCCTGGTCAGTACGTAGATGGGTGACAACTTGAGAATACCAGGTGCTGTAAACTTGGATGTGAGGATGGTGTAATGCATAATGGTATGGAAATATTAATTGGAGAGCCGAGTTCAAATTCCCATTGGGTTTGTCATATTTACTTACGCGTAAATACTCTTGGGAAAGGTATGGATCTACTTTTTTCCCCATGCATTAATTAGTATGACTTTTATAACTAAGCCATTATTATCTCCAAAAATAATTTAAACAATCTACAAATATTTTCTGTCTTTAAATAACCTGCAAAAGGTTGGTACGCTGTACAAAGCGTATCAATCAATCGCTCTACAGGCAATCCTATTCACCATTACTCCGATGCAAAGTTGTATCAGACACCTGCTAAATGTCGCTTTTATGCTAAAGATGAGAGCTAATCATGTTTATGTCTGAATATGTAGATTTTTCTTACAGCAATAGGAATGTTTTTAATTACCGAACACAGCCAGCACATTATGGCCGTGTTCATAACTGATATTACTGAAAGGTGTTTTCTTTTTTTTTTAATTCTTAAACGCTTCCATTTTTTCTAACCGTTTTCTGCACTTAGATGTGTCTGTCGTGTCCAGTAATGTGTATTTGAACTCGGTTCGACGATGTCTCTTTCAGAGCCAATATTATTTGCGCCACCCACACATCCACTTTGAGAAAATTTCCTAACTCCGAAGGAATATTGAAATATATTATTAAAATTAACAAAATAATTAGTGGCTGTTTCTAAGGAATGTTAGCGAAAGTAAGGCTCAAAAGCCACTCGATATAGAGGGATATTGCATGAGATAATTGCACGAACGTAATTGTATAGGACAATCATTGAATCTCACCACTACGTTTAAGAGCTGAGCTAATCATGTATTAAAAGATACTTAGAAAAACAAAAATCAGGAAAGTGTAAATGGCCACGTCCTGAAAAGACATAGTACAAAAAAAAAAAGACGGACATATCACGCTGCGACAGGCGCCACACACACACACACACACATATATATATATATATATATATATATATATATATATATATATATATATATATATATATAAACAAAAATCGTTAATTCCATTTTGGCACTCACTACCTTTATTTTATTTATTGTAAATTCTTCACTACATAATAATTCAGTATTCTAAAAGCTTAATTCAAATGTCTGGAGTCTGTCTGCGATTTGAAATGGTTTCAGCTAATTCTCTACTAAGTAATTGCATTATATCACATTTCAAAATAAACATCGCCCAAGTTACAGTGTATCAAGAATAATGATCAGATAAGATGTCCCCTTACATTTTAAGGCAATTATCTTGTAAATTTATTGCAAATTTAATTATGCAGCGTTGATTTTAGTCATTTCAAAACGGCAAAGAAAAATACAAAAACAATCTCAATGCCGCTCAGACAGAATTGTGACGAATGCGCAACTAAAAAGCGTTATACAATGAGAGAAAAAAACGTACATTGGATGGAGACAAATTATCTTTGTGTCCTCGGTAAGACGATAAACAACATCCAACTGCAAGGCCTCTGATCATGTTGAGGAGTGTGGAACCACCTCTTAATTGTTGGTGTTCCCAGGTCTACCCTGATCCGGAGTGGTAGCATGTTAGGTCCCAGCTATGGGTAAATAGTTAACACCCACACTGGGGTCAAAACACTATGAAAGTGTAAAAAATAGGTTTTAATACCAGCCATGCGTTTTTGTAAAAAAATATATTACCAGTAATGAATTTTTGGATAAAAAATTATTACCAGCAATATATTTGAAGAAAAGGATATTAACAGCAATACTTTTTGGAAGAAATATTACCCGCAATAAAAATCTTTTCGGCATTAAATAACCCATTGAGATTGATAAGCCGTAAAACAAACTAAACTAAATCAATATATACTGAGATAGATAGATAGATAGATAGATAGATAGATAGATAGATAGATAGATAGAAAAAAATATTGCCAACAATAAAAATTTTGTCGTCATGAAATAACCCATTGACGTTGATATGCCGTAAAACAAACCAAACCAAATCAATAGATAGATAGTTAGATAGATAAAAAATATTACCAGCAATAAAAATCTTGTCGGCATTAAATAAACCACTGAGATTGATAAGCGGTAAAACAAACTAAACTAAACCATTATATACTGAGATAGATAGATAGATAGATAGATAGATAGATAGATAGATAGATAGATTGTGAGAGAGAATGGGAGAGAGAGAGAGAGAGAGAGAGAGAGAGTGTGAAATAGAAAGTAAAGAGCCGAGTTAGGAATTGACTGACAGAAAGAAAGGTAAAAAGGAAAGGATAGATAGATAGATAGATAGATAGATAGATAGATAGATAGATAAAAAATATCACCAGCAATAAAAATTTTGTCGTCATGAAATAACCCATTGACGTTGATATGCCGTAAAACAAACCAAACCAAATCAACAGATAGATAGATAGATAGATAGATAGATAGATAGATAGATAGATAGATAGATAAAAAATAATACCAGCAATAAAAATCTTGTCGGCATTAAATAACCTATTGAGATTGATATGCCGTAAAACAAAATAAACCAAACCAACCTTTTATATCAGTGAATGATCACCACGGAAATGTGTACCTATTTTTTTTTTTTTTTTTGGCAATTGACAAATTATAAAGAAAGGTAATATTTAGAGAGTCATGAAGACCTACTCCCCAAGAACCCATGACAATTTATGTAAACAGAAGGAATCTCTGAAGAGCAATGTCCGGCTATATCCTGAATTTACGTAAGTCGAGTTTGAAATCAAAACTATGGACAAAGTAGCGTGAAATAATTCTATAAATTTTCCCAGGAAATCATGGCAATCGAATAAAGAAAAGGAATGTGTGGAGAGTCATGATCACCCATGTAACGAAAGAAGAAAGACGAGTTTGAATCACTTCACTTACTTTCCGAAGTAATCATAGAATTTCGTAGTTAATAAAGGAAAGGTATGCATGGAGAGCGTAATACCTAAGAAAGAAAGATGTTTTTAATCAAAACTATGAAGACTATAATGGCGAACCATTTCACTATTTTTTGCAAGTAGTTTTTTTTACAGATAAATAAAGAAAATAATCTATGTAGATGCATGAAAAGACATGGTATTTAAATCGATGGAGAAGGTAATGGGAAACCACTCTACCATCATTCCTTAAGATAGACAAATCCGAATTCAAAACCATGGAAATGGTAATGAGAAAACATTCCACTATCTTTTCCAAGAAGCCTGACAGATAATAAAGAAAAGCGTTCCGTCTATAAGCGTGACCACCTACGACCTAAAGGCGAAAAAACGGGTTTAAGTTATTAACCATGGGTAACCCACCGATCAAAGCCAACCTCAACCGGATTCATGGAATCATTGTTTGCTGCACGATCCTTCCATAAGCTGCATATGGTACGTACTTCGCTGGGTCTTAAAACAGTTTTAGAATTCATATTTTCCTTCTCATAGACGGGTTGCCAATCAAGACTGAAGAGTCCAATCGGTTCAACTATATAACGCATAACTTAGAAGATACAGATTCATGTTTTTCTCAAAGGTATTTGCGCGTAAGTGAATGTGACAGACTCGACTGGAATTCGAACTTGGCTCTCCAAATTCTCATTCCGGGTCTACATCCCTTACACCAGCTGCACATCCACGAGCAGGAAATCACTCCACTATCGTTCCCAAGAAGTTATGGCAATTAACAGATAATACAGAGAAGCCATTGTACGCACCGGCTTTATTCAGGTGGTTGGAATGTGAAGAAGACCGGAGCGTAAAACAGCCGAAACGTTTGAATTAATATGGCGACAAAGATGAGGACAATAGTCTGAATAATGTAAATAATGTACATAATTCCTCATCTCAGAAATATAGACAGATACTGAAAGGCGGAAACGTTGTAATAAATATGGTGACAAAGATGAGGACAATAGTCCGAATAATGTAAATAGTGTACATAATACCTCATCTCAGAAATATAGACAGATACTGAAAGGCCGACACGTTGTAATAAATATGGCGACAAAGATGAGGACAATAGTCCAAATAATGTAAATAATGTACATAATACCTCATCTCAGAAATATAGACAGATAATACAGAGAAGGTATATTGTGTTTACTGTTTGCTAGAAAAGAACTGTTTCCCGATTGCAACTTCCCATCTGTTTGCCATGTTTTATGGAATGTTGGCGAGTGGACGTTACAATCACTGAAAGAAATATACTTATCTCACTGGGGTTTTGGCCAAGGCAGTCAAAGGATACTCGAATGTGGCTGATGATATTATCTCTTCTTGTTTATTCAGATAAATGTTTTGAAACTGATGAGAATCCTTGCTCAGGAGTCCTCTTTGAAATTTACCATATATTTTGCCAAATATTTTGAGAAGCAGACCAGCCATGGAATGAATGTCGAACTTTTTCCACCCCCGTTAATAAGAGTCAAGTATACTAGCTGTCCTAACTTGTTCGTTGTTAGTTCATGTCGAAAAAGATTATCAATACTGTTTCATGTATATCTGCTAGATTTAGAGAAATGATAAGAGCTTGGAGAATTGTACCAGTGGTTAATAAATCGACTCATAAGATGATGACATCCTTCGAACACAACATTGTGTAAAGTTTGGTGAGATATCATTTTGAAACCGATGGTCATATGTTGTTGGGTGTACGACAAATATAGCTGTTGCTGTAGAATAGCTTTTGGTTGGTTGATTTTGTTTAACGGCATATCAACCAGTATGGATTATTCAATCCTGAAATCAAATTATGAAAAATCAAATTTTATAGTTGATTCAAGAGAATTATAATTACTTAGCTGCATATCTTTAAACAAATAATCTCACAAAATTAAACGAGGTGTAAAACTTGTTTCTCCTTACAAGAAATGAAATTAATCATAGCACATTGTTTTTTTTTTCACAATATATTGAATGTATTGATTGTCATTTTACTATTTGCAATAATTTTAATGAAAATATATTGCTTGTATTTTTACGATAAAAATGTATTTTCATATTTTCCTAACTTTTTTTAAATTTTCTTACTTGTAATTTTTTAAAATAAAAATATTGCTTGTATTTTTCCGATAAAAATGTAATGAAAATATATTGCTTGTATTTTTACGATAAAAATGTATTTTCATTTTTTCCTAACTTTTTAAAAATTTTATTACTTGTAATTTTTTAAAAAAAATATTGCTTGCATTTTTCCTATAAAAATGTATTTTTGTATTTTCCTAATTTTTTAAAAATTTGATTACTTGTAATTTTTAAAAATAAAAATATTGCTTGTATTTTTCCGATAAAAATGTATTTTTAAATTTTCCTAATTTTTTTTAATTTTATTACTTGTAAAGTTTTAAAATAAAAATATTGCTTGTATTTTTCCTATAAAAATGTATAGTTATATTTTCCTATTTTTTTTTTAATTTTATTACATGTAATTTTTAAAATAAAAATATTGCTTGTATTTTTCCAATAAAAATGTATTTTTAAATTTTCCTAATTCTTTTTTAATTTTATTACTTGTAATTTTAAAAAATAAAAATATTGCTTGTATTTTTCCTATAAAAATGTATTTTTATATTTCCTAATTTTTTTTTAATTTTATTACTTGTAATTTTTTAAAATAAAAATATTGTTTGTATTTTTCCTATAAAAATGTATTTTTATATATTCCTATATTTTTTTTTACTACTAGTGATTTTTTTAAATAAAAATCTGTTGCTTTTATTTTCCCTATAAAAATATTTTTATATTCCCTATTTTTTTATTCTTACTATTGGTAATTTTTTTTAATAAAAATCTGTTGCTTATATTTTTCCTATGAAAATGTATTTTTCTATTTTTTATTTTTACTATTGATATTTTTTTAATAAAAATATATTGCTTGTGTTTTTAGTATAAAAATGTATTTTTGTATTTTCATATTTTTACTATTAGTAAATTTTTTATTAGAAATATATTGTTTGTATTTTTCCTATAAAAAAAAGTATTTTTATATTTTCCTATTTTTATTTTTACTATTGATATTTTTAATAAAATATATTGCTTGTGTTTTTAGTATATAAAATGTATTTTATATTTTCATATTTTTTGCTAAAAGAATTTACTATTTTTTAAGAAAAATATATTATCATATATTTTCATATTTCTACTATTGGTAAATTTTTAATAAAAATATATTTCTAGCATTTTTCTATAAAATGTATTTTTATATTTTCTTATTTTTTTATATATAAAAATATATTGCTTGTGTTTTTAGTATAAAAATGTATCTTTTTTTTCATATTTTCGCTAAAAAAATTACTATTTTTTAATAGAAATAAATTTTTTGTATTTTTCCTATAAAAATGTATTTTATATTTTCCTATTTTTTATTCTTACTATTGGTAATTTTTTAATAAAAAAATATATTGCTTGTGTTTTTAGTATAAAATGTATCTTTATATTTTCATATTTTTGCTAAAAAAATTACTATTTTTTAATAAAAATATATTTCTTGTATTTTTACTATAAAATGTATTTTTATATATTCCAATGTTTTTATTTTAGTTTTTTTTTATGTTAGTTTTATTTACCCGTAGCTGGGACCCCTAACAGGTGCTACCACCCTAAGTCAAGGTAGACCTGGGAAGCATAACAATTAAGAGGTATTTGCATGCTGCTCAAAAACCTCCAATTTTTCGATCTGCCGGTTGTAGTTTATAGTCATACCCAGGTCGGGTAGAATAAGAACTGCCTGCTTATTGCATTTGGGGAAGCCTGGTTTCATACATTTATCTATCAGCAACTTACTACTGTAGTGAGGTAAAATTATATTAAATCATTTACACCTTTGGAGTCGTATTTGCCAAAGGCATTTTAAAGAAAATATTATTTATTTTTTTTTATGAATCTGTCAATCTTAGTAAAAATAACATCAAATAAGTGTTAATCGGCTGCAGAATATTATCCGAATAAAAAGTGGGGATGATGTGACAAAGAGGAAACCTTTTTAGAGGTTTCACCTTCGAGTGGTAGGCATCTTCAAGTCAGAATGAGAGACAAACCCGTGTGCGAGCTTTGGAAGTTTTTAAAAGAGATTATTGCAGAGACTTCTCGTTTGATTAAAACACTGGCAACAATATTTTGCACATGTAGATGGTGGGTGTAAAAGAAATGTAAGACAATTTGAACAAAACGATATTTTATATTATTATTTTATATAAGTGATTAAGATATATATATATATATATATATATATATATATATATATATATATATATATATATATTAATCACTATATATATTGTGTATATTTAGGAAGCAATTTTTTCCTTAATGCATGTTTTATTAAATAATATAGACAAGTTTTGTCTATTTTAAGTAAGTTCCTTTCATATTGTCTGATAAGATTAATCACATTATCGTTGAAAGACCAAAAGAAAAATACCAGATTGATACATGTTTAAATCCAATCTAATTTACACAAGCCATTATCAAAGATGACAATTTCAATAAATCAAACAACACACGGACGAAACAACAATGATAGTCCGCCCTTGCTGCATGAAAATTTTCAAGTAACGACAAACTCGTATATACGAGACGCGGAAGCCGAAATCGCGTTGTAGCTCGTGACGTCACACATGACCACACTAGAGTAAAAAATGAGAAGTATTAAGTATGGGAATATATATATATATATATATATATATATATATATATATATATAGAGAGAGAGAGAGAGAGAGAGAAAGTAATACACTAGTAAGCTTGAAAATGATGTTACAATTTAAGAATTATGTGTGTTATATACATGTATGTATGTGTGAAATGTGAGAGCGAGAGAGAGAGAGAGAGAGAGAGAGAAGAGAGAGAGAGAGAGAGAGTGTGTGTGTGTTCAATCACACGTGGAAAGAAGTACCCATGCTCGGGAAAAAGTGTC